TTTCTCAGTGTCTAGAGCAAACTGCTCCACGAGAAGCCTTAATTGTTCGTTCGGATCCTCCAGTGAAGTGTAGCATGGCTCTGCAGAGTGGCCCGTGAAGGCCGCCATGGGTAACTCCAGCTCCGATGGCCCTTCTGGTTGTGGGAGAAAGTCTTCTTGGTAATGAGGTTGTTCTTGATATGCCCAGGGGTCTTATTGTTCTCCGTAGTAAGGGGGTTGGTACTGGAACCCGAATCCATAGTCTTCTCCTCCTTGATTGCTGTAGGGAGTCGCGGGGTAATACCACCCGGATGGTGGTGGATACCCCCAATGATTGGAGAAGCCATTAGGATCCATGATTCAGATCTGCACCAACAAAAACAAAAAACACCCAAGTGAAAAGCAAGGGTGGAAAAGAACAGAAAAACGCTAAAGTAACAAACTTCTGCCTTTCCTCATACTCTAGAAAGTCCCCGGCAACGGCGCCAAAAACATGACACGCCAAAACACAACACCAATCTGCGACCAAGTGTAATCGCAGACCGGGAATGCAGTAACAGGCAAGTTATATTATCAACCCGGGGTCTAGATCTACTGCTTACTCCGTGATTCTCTATTATCTAGCTAACTAAAGTAAGTGATTGTTGTCTAAAAACAAAAGCAGAAAGAAAGCAGGAAATTATTCGGTTTTCTCAAGCAGGTAAGAGTCACTCGGGAATGAATCCCCCTAGCTCCTTAGTTAGGTCCAAGTTGTATTTCCCTGGGTTGATTTACTGTTGATTAAACTGCGGAAGATCCGACAGTAGCTTGGAATCTTTTAAGCTGACCAAGCCCTCTCAGTCTAACTATCTGGCAGACGACTAGTCTTCACCGGGATAGAAAGCTGAAGCAATAAGCACAGAACTCCACTACTGGAATTGGATTCCAGTACAAAGCAGTAAACTGGCTAACTCTCGTATAGCCAATCTCCTACTACCGAATGATGAGACTCTAGCAACCTAATCAGATTCTATCTATCTCAGATTGCAGCAGAAATCAGGAAAAGTTGATCAGACTTCAATTGACTCAATAAACATGCATCATTCGATTATAATTAAACAATATAGCATCCAAAACTTCATACAAGAAAGATCCTATCTCATGGAACTAGGATTCCTCAAAACCTAAGTGAAGGGAAGTTACTCCATAGAGAAGAGAGAGACTGCAGAAATCTGATCTAGATCTTCAATCTCCATCTCCAAGCTTGATTCCCGAGCTCCAATGGCGAAGAAATCCTCCAAAATAGCTCCAAGAATGTTCCCAAGTCGCTCTCTCTCTCTCTAGGGTTCGTCCCTTGGGTGTTTGGGATCCAAAACCCAGCTCTCCCCCTTTCCTTTTGCTGAAAAATCGGGTTTTAAACAGCAATTCCCGACTCACACGGCCAGGCCACACGGCCGTGTGGCTTTCCCAGCTGCCCGTGTGAAGGCTCGGTGATTTCCACACGGCCACATGGCCAGGTCACACGGCCGTGTGGGTTGTGCCCGTGTGGCTTGCTCAGCCTCCGTTTAATGCTTCGTTTCTCCCTCGTCCGGACTCCGAATCAGTCGCCGTTTGATCCCAGACGCTCGTAGTCTCGTCCTCTTTCTTTTCATGACAAGCTTGAATGATTCTTTGTCCATAAAGTGAGGTAGAAATCCATTCTTCTTCAGGTCATACCCGAGTTTCTTCTCCCGAATCGTCAATTGATCTCTGATTGACTTGAAACTTGCGCCTATGCTTCACTTTATGTGCTAGGACCTGAAATGTGACAAAGGAACACAACCTAGCGTAAAATAGGCCAAAGACACGATAATTCAAGCTCAAAAAATAAAGAAACAAAGGGGAAAACATGTGCAAATACCGAGTCATCAGCCTGGCATGATTGAATTAGGATAGGGTGAGGGATGCTTTGAGTATGATTGGCTATGGCTATTGTGTGTGTGCTGCCTGGGTGATTAAATTGGTCGGTTGTGTTTGCTTCTTGCCTTGATTACGGTTGAGTTGCTTGCGATTCAACCAGTTATGCTTAAACTGTTAGCCTAGGTGGTCCTTGAGTGTGGGGGAAGTGATGAACCCATGTTGTTGGTCCTGACAAGTTTTTCTTGGCTCCACCTTTGGTTTGTTGATTTTTGCAGGAGCATGTCACTCGACCATCAGTTTGTGCAGGACCTGCGCCTGCACCCGGATTACGCGGACCAGTTCCGTAAGGTCACCCGCGGGAGGTTGGAGCGCCACCACCATCTGGAGTGGGGCGTATTCGAGCAGCTCCACTGCATACAGGATCTCTCCACCGCTATCAGCCACCGGGATTGGCGGACGCTGCTGACTATCGAGGAGCCCACCTACACCGAGCTGGTGTGGGAATTCTACACCACCTACAAGTACCGTCCCAAGGCGGCCCGGGACTCCTACGCAATCACCTTCTGGCTGGGTGGCCGGCCTCGGGAGCTGTCCATTGACGGGTTGGCCTATGCCATGGGGATCCATTACCACCCCTACTCACTCCACGAGGTGGAGATTCCACACCCGACGGATTGGAATCAGGATGAGTTCTAACGACGAATAGCAGGCGCTCCTATGAGTACGACTTCTTCGACGCCAGTCAGACTTCTGTCTCCACCATCAGTCCGCAGTGGCACATTCTGAACCTGCTCATCACCCGCTCGATCGTCCCCTGTGCTACTGGGTCGCACAAGATTCCAAAGCGGGTGCTCTATGCCATGTACTCGATGGGGGACCCGGAGCACATGCTACACTTGGGTTCTTTCGTGGCCACCACCTTCGCCCGGTGCCACGGGAAACCCAACCACCTCTACTGTGGGGCCCTGATCACCCGCTTGGCGCGGCACTTCGAGATCGACTTCGAGGGACTGACAGATTCTACTGCACGGGGCGGCTCCACCCCCCTCAGCCGGGACGTGCTCCACAATGCACTCCTCCTCACCACTGATGGCACCCGCTCCTGGGTGGATGGGCTCTCCATGCCCCCTAAGGAGGATGAGGATCTTGATGAGGACGAGGAGGATGATGACTACTCCAGCGAGGAGGAGGAGGATGATGATGATGATGATGATGATGGCGGGGCCATGGATGCTGATGAGCCGGAGCCTCCGCTCTCCCCACCTGGGGACCTTCAGTCGCGACGGAGACCCGAGAGAGGCGAGTCCTCCTCCGGTCCTTCTGGTCCGTCGATGGCTTCTGGCTCGTCGATGGACTTCTTCACGGAGCAGTTCCAGCAGATGGGGCTCCAGTTCCAGCAGCTCGGGCTTCAGAACCAGCAGCTCATGGACCATCAGGTCCAGTTTTACCAGCAGTATTCGGCCCACCAGGCTGACGGTAGTCGACGAGCGCCTCGACCGGATGGAGGCCTAGATGGGAGTCACTAGGGCTATCATCGAGCGGGAGCGGGATCGTGGCTGCCGGTTGATGGAGTACTCGGAACACCTGCTCCAGTCTTGTCACCCACCAGAGGAGCACCACTGGACCACCCGGTGGGATCACTCGCCACTGCCACCACCACCACCGCATGATGGGGTCAACGATCCCATGGACCAGATCGACTTCACCGGGCTCGAGTAGGCTGTACTCGTGGCCCCGTTTTGTATTTCTGTCAGAATGCAAACTGTGTTGTGTGTTTGTTTATTTTCTTTTCTTTCTTTTGATTTTGGATGATGTACTATTGGGCTGACCATTGGACCTAACGTACTGTGTTTGAGTTCTTTTGTTCCCTTTAGCTGTGCTTTGTCCCTGACTGGTCCCTTCTCCAGTCCGCTTCACTCAGACTGGTCCCTTTCCAGTCTCATGCAGTCCGTGCACAACGGTAACATCGTTCCCCTTATCCTTCCCTCTTCTCCATTGAGGGCAATGTCGATCTTAAGTGTGGGGGGATGTTTCTCTTTTAACTGCATTAGATCTGTTTGTATGCTTGGAGCCTAGTCCACTGTCCAAATTTTTAAATTTGAGGGCTCCAAGTACGTGTTTCCTTGCAAATTGCCTGCTCATTATGCTTTGAATTGACAATCCCTATAGTAATGTGCAACGTAGGGAGGTAGTGTAGCACTATGGAGGATGTTGAAGTATAAGATTTTTCCTATCTAGCTCTCTGCTGTGCCAGTTGATTTTGTGAATTAGTGGAGCTAAGACCGTTGAATTCATGTGGTAATGGTGACTCTATTTGGATTGTGTTATGGACTCGTGTATCGAACAGGGTGCTCATGTGGAAAATGGAAAGCAGTTGGTCCTCCATGTCGAAATCTTTAAATCTTAAATATGGGGTAAGCCCAACGTGTGCGGCACCGTTCATTGCACAAAATCGGGTTTTGGAGGAGATTTTAGTGATCCTTAGTGGGGTACTCCTACAAGGTGAAGCTAAGATGTCTCTAGTACAAGTAAAACTTCCACCCATTCAACGGTTTGCCTACTTGAGGATGTGCTTTTAAGGGCACGGATAGAGCTTCTGACCCCCCTTAATTTCATTGACCCTCCACACGAGTTGAGGAAAAGGAGTTAAAAGAAGTACTCTGGCAAAAGCCAGATGTACAGAAATTGCTCTTGCTCGGTCGACCGTGCAAAAGACTGCAGTAGGAACCCCCGCTAAGTGAATGAAAAAAAAAAAGAGAAAAAGAAATAAAGTGAAAGTGAAAAAGGGGTTCCAACGGTGAAATGAAGTGAAAAGAGCACCCCGGCACAACGAGTCCTTGGTTGCGAATGATATGAGTCCCTTTATCCATGAACTGACTGTCTTACTTCTACTTCTTCTCATGATCTTGGCTTGAGTCTAGTACTCGCATTGAGAGAGATAGGGAACGTCTTAGAAGACCAGTTGACCTCGTAAGCTGCTATATGATCTAGGAAATCCTCTACCAACGATCGGGGTCGTTTGTTGCTATAGAGGTCTGGAGAGTTGCATTGGCTTGAGTTAGGTTTGCTTGGGGACAAGCAAACGGTTAAGTGTGGGGGAGTTTGATAGACCAATAATTACACATGTTTTACCCCTATTCTTGAGCCATTTGAGATGTTGATTCTCGTGTTTTAAGTCGATTTCACTCTAGGTTGTGCGTTTATGTCATATTTCAGGACTTAGCGTTGGCATCGAGGCAAAGAAACGAGTTTCGGGTCGAAAGGAGCACGTTTGGGTCGAAGTGTGCTAGAGGAGGAAAATACCCGGCCGGGTATTATTTGGAGCAGACCGGGGAAAAGTGGTTTTGGCGTCTGAGAAGCAAAGGGGGGCCCGGACGTGACACTAAAATCCCCGGTCGGGGATTCTTGGCCTTGACCGGGGATTTTCCCCTTCCTCCTACGCTGCGTTTTGAAAATGCCCGGTCGCCATCCAAAATACCCGACCGGGCAAAAGAGAGGGGTTTCGAGTTTTAGAGAGAAAAAGTGCGCCCTAGAGAGAGAAAGTGACAAACCTGACTCTGCAAGTGCCATAGATCGATCTCCATCACCATTGGAGCCCGGCTTGAGCTTGGAGAAGACCTGATTGAGCGCCAGAAGCAGATTCTCATTCTTCACAGTATGGTTTCCGCATCTGAGCTAGATTTCTCATCTCTCTCTATGGAGTAACTTTCTTATTCACCTGAGTATGAAGAACCCTATATTTGTATGTTAGGTTTGATTGTATGAACCCAAGTACAGATTCAGTGATATGATTATGTTCAATTGAGGTTTGAATTGTTGAATGGCATGAATCCTGATCAAATTCCTATAGAAGCAATTTAAGATTTTTTTATGACTTTTTTGAGGCACTTAGGGTGAGTATGACCTAATTTCCCACATTTCAAACACTTTCTTAAACTTTTGCCCGATGCACTTCTAGCAGACTTGAATGTTCCCTTGATCTTCCCAATTTTCGGATCTTTCACACTTGGAAGGGGTGCTGGAGGGCTTGCAGGTGCAGCGGTGTCCATTCTCTCCCTCGTGAACTCAATTGCCCATTGAGTAAGGGCATCCAACGCTAAAGAGACATGATTAAAAGCATATTCATTACCACACGCGATGTCACACAAACGCTTATGCTTTAGTGACAGTCCCTCATGTTTTATCAGTCGACCGAATTTCTCTGCCACATCACCGCCAACTCCAGGATTACACGATAGTGTCTTTGCATTTTGGGCCCATCGAAGCTTAAACCACGTGGAGGGTAATGCTATAAATCCCTTATTCTTTTTTCACTGTAAGCATATGTCTGCATGGAAACCCCTTCGATTCAAACAATGTACACTGACATTTTAGATGTTGAGTGATCGTAGTAAATGTTAACCTCCTTGTCCGATTCTGGTTCTTGCAATTATTCAGAATGAATGTCTCTGTCCCATCTGCTTCAGGTCTTGTCTCCGCTAACACATAAGAAGCTTCGTTCTCTAGTTCAGACTTGAAGATAGCAAATGTACGATGTGTGTAGATACTTTCAGCTTGCATTTCCCATGTGAGAAGGGCATACTTGCAGACAAAACTCGTGTGCCTAGAAGAATAATCATCATGTAACTCTGTGTAACGCATCCCCTCTAGTGCTTCATCGATGCACTGAACAAAACGTTGCAAGCTGTATTGAGCTCCTACATACCCATTTATCCAATGGTTACATGACTCACATCACGAGGTTGATTGGAGTCCCGCAACCACTTATTTGCAGACAAACCATGCTTAGTAATCAAACTCTCCCAACGGATCTCAAACTCCTCAGTTGATATACGTGATTTGGCCAAGTGGGTGAAGGCGCTAACAAACTCTCTATTATGAACAGTTGTTGTCGCATTTGTCTTAATATGCCAAATACACAGTCGATGAGGCACTCCAAGCAGTATAGTAGCAATGGCGCCACACATAGACTTGCATCCATCTGTGATCACTGAAGTCGGCATCTTCGAGTTCATACACTCCAGAAAATTGTTCAACAACCAAATGTAGTTGGGGATTTCTCGTTATCAAAATGGGCAAAACCATATATGATGTTACGGTGGTGGTGATTTACACCAACCATCATAAATTGGTCGATTGTACTTGTTGCGCTTGTAGCATGCATCAAACGCCAACACATCCCAAAAAATGAAAATCTGCTCAGGATGTGGAGTCCGACCAAAAGAGATCGTCAATTCACCTTGATCGTTGGTTGTGTACTTGAAGAATTGGCCAGCATCAGAAGCATGTCTACTTTGCAAGTAACCCAATGTTTGGTTTACATCTCCTATTAGATCATCGTAATCATTTCAGGATTTCTGAACAGTGCTATCCAAATCCTTTGGAGTGGACCCCAGATTCTCATATCCTCCGACTTTATTCTTTATGAACTGAACAATGTTGCGTTTTTTTATTCCTGACTGTCGCATCCTTATCGCTAATGCCTTGTCTCCTTCACTCACATTTCGATGAGACCGAAGGAATTGATTTTCTTCTTCAATGCAGCAACGATGTGAGTGCTTCCTCTCGAACTTAGAAACATCACATACTCTCTTCCCCCGATCAAAGCGTACATTATAGGATGCATTGCAAGAATGTCTTATAATCTTACGATGTTGTCGTGTCCGACCTTCTTTATCAATATGCCTCTTCTCTCTAATTCCCTCTCTTGAACATACCATTTTCCTCAAGGTAACTTCTCCTTGACGATTCCTTCAAAGATCTCCACGTCGAACGCTAAACCCTTTCACTTTAGCATAGGCATCATAAAATTTCTCTACATCTTCTAATATTTGAAACTCCATGGAAGGAATTTGTTGTTCATATTCAATAGCTTCCTAATCATCCATAAATTCGTCTTCAACACCCTCACTTTCCTCATCATCCATAAATCTTTCTTCAGCATCCTCAGTTTCCTAATCGTCCATAATATTTTCATCATCTCTATCGTGTATACCATCTCTATTATCCATCTAGCAATGATCAAAATACGAGCTGTATGTCAAATAAAATACAAATTAGGTCTCGTCAGGTCGACCTAGAGGAAGTGTATGGTCGACCAAAACAAAAAAAAAATCAAATTCGGTCTACCTCTGGTGTTGACGTGGTCGACCTGATGAGGAGAAAGGGAACCATAAAAACTCGTAAACAAGCACACATGATATTTGAAAGCATACCTCAACAAGACTAGGTCGACCACTTAGTTATAAGGTCGATTGGAATAAGACCAATCAGCCACCAACACACGACCACAATAAGAGCGATGAGATTACAAGTTCCCACCAACAAATTTCATGAATTGAATTATGATGAAAGTCTTAAGACTTTCATCTATTTATAGACAATGTAGACGAATTCCATATCCTTACTAGTATGGGGAACACTTATCCCAATTAGTCAAGGATACATAAAATCCTAATTCGATAAGGAGAAGTACGCAAACTCCTAATTCGACAAGGAGAAGTACACAAGCAATCTAAGTTTCTCCATCTCGGCCGACCTCTTTTCAGGATATGGTTGACCGTTATTGGTAGAGGTGAAATCAAGAGATTTGAATCCATATTCGACATTGTATACGAGCTAAATAAACGTAGCTTAGTTCGACCGTACACATACAAGGTCGACCTGTCCTCTGCCAACAAGGTCGCCCTTTTTCTCTCTGTGGTCAACCTATTTGGGTAAAAGATTCTACTATAAATTTCTTCAAATCCATAATTATATAACTAGTCAAATAAACAGAAAATATTGAATATTCGAACGAAAACAACCTCGCAAATCAAATGTTAACGTATTGTCTAAATAATGTAACATTGTAACTGAATGATATCATTTCTTGCCTTTTTTCTTTGAACTCTTTCTCTCTTTTCCTCGTTCCCCACATTCATCTACTACATGCTTGAAAATATCTTCTCTTGCACGGTTCCCAAAATGTGTAGCCAGATACCATAGAATCTCTTTTCGAGTCGGTAATTTGTGTTCTACTCCTATTTGCATTATCGCATATAACACTTTGTTAGAAGTAGAGACACAAATTTAAGCAAGTTTTTTGGCTGACTATATACTAACCAATCTATCCAGATCTTTGGATCCATAGCGCTGCATTATGTGCACACCACATTCGGTAACGTTCCTTTGCCCTTGAACGCGTAGCTCATCGATATTGAAAGCTTCAAAATCAGGTACAACTCCATTGCTCATGCACTCCGATTTGAAAATATAGTACAGTTTGGACAACTACACACAAATAACGATTATTATATGCTTTTGACAGTATACGTGACACTTAGTAGTCATAAGATGATAGGAAACACTTACCATTTTCTTGTAGAAATTTAATTTATGCTTACGACCCGACTCAGTAGTTGATGGTAGAATGTTAAGTAGAAATGCGATTTTTTGCTGGACATTGACGAGATACAGAAACCAATGATGTACCTCATCATCCAGAACTGGCATAAATATCTAGCAAAGAAAATAAATATATTATAAAATGAGAAAACAAACAAATGCACTTTGAAAGCTTAATGATGTAGGGACATTGACTAACCTTCTGGCATGCACTAACGTTCGGCGTATACACCAAACCATCATTCATCAACTTGTTACGAATTTTTTTGGTCGTCATGTTACTGCATATCATTTTCTGGACCATATTTTTATTCAGATTAATTGACATGGTACAATATTAATAACTAGGGTAGGACAAATAAATAAAAATTATGCCTCTTACCAAAAATAAATTTGGCTCGTTATTTTCAATTTTTTCAGACATTGTTAGTGCTTCTGCACACAAATCCACTACCTACAAACCAAAAATAAACCACAAAATAAACATAATAGAAATAGTGCACAATTCATACCAAAGTCGTAGCAGTATAGCACTTACAGATGAGCAAAGCCAACTACTCTCGCTTATGACCGAATTCAAATATTCTCGTTGTACGTTTTTGTAAAAAAAGTCAATAACGACCAAACTACAAATCAAGAAAATAACAAAAATGTCAATTGTGACTTCAACAGTATAGGTCAACCTCAACCAGACTAGGTCAACCTATTTAGGACGACCATGTCGACCTTATTATCTAAACGGTCGACCCCATCTACTATTTTAAAATAGTAATACTTCTCTTACTTGTCCCAGTTCGTGTCTCCGTCATTCTTTTTAGTAACAACATAAAACAAGTCTTCACTGGATTTTGAAGATCTTTTATGAATCCTTCTAGGCCCTCCACTTTCATGACCTACAACTCAAAGTTAAATTAAAGTTACATATGAAATCAAACAAACATTATAGATCAATATGTAATGTAAACTTACTTCGTGCTTTTCGAAAGGACTCATAGATTCATCTTCGTCGCTATCAACACTAAAAATCATTTTCTTACTAAATGATCCTTCTGTGGAGTGGTGTAGAAATCACATTCATATCGAGGTTTCTTATACTTAGGAGAGGAACCCTTGCTGCCAAACGTTGTTTCATTATGTCAATCATATAAACAAAACAAATTACCACTAATATTAGTAATACTAATATCTCCACTCGCATATGAATATACTTGTCTACCTTTAACTTGTGGTCTTGCAATAAGTTGTCTATGCTCTGGTAGCAATTTGCAAAGTCATTATGGCCTTCCTCCTCTTCATGAAATTCAAATTTCTTTCTGGTACCATATCTTCCTCCATTCTCCATTCCTTTTGCTCGTATTTCTTTGATAGCACCTTCTAGCCTCTTAAAACCATCATGCATCATCCCAGTCATATATGTCAATCGCACTGACAATTGCTCCAGTGTATCACCAATGGACTTCTGATAGTCATTGAATTCTTTTTGACACACCACCAGCTGCTCTTGTCTGGCTTTCAACACTTTCATGATTTCACCCTCATCGTGTTGAAGTTTCTCATCATGCACCATCATCTAAACAATGTAAAGAAAAATTTAAATTAGAATGCAACGTCAAATTTGAACAAATGACCAACATATACGTGGTCGACCTAACTTACAACAGGGTCGAACTTAAAGACATAAATTCTCACTTAACAGAACCAATTAGGTCGACCTTTGCTCTTCCTAGGTCGACCTATCCAACAGACAAATACCGATTTACCTACAACAATACATGTAATTGTGTAATACTACTACGAATAAGACCATGAAGAAGTGATAGGTCGACCAGACACATTGACCGGCCGACCTTCTAAGCACAACATAGTCTTACAAATAAAGCCAAAGTCGACAGTTTGGATAAAGAAGCAAAACACACATAACCGGTCGACCTGGACAATAATTAGGTCGACCAATTGAGTTTGATCTCCCTTACCTTGCAATTACAGAAGTCTGAGTGTTGTGCCCTAAATTCAAGTTCTCGCAATTGTCAAACAGAGGCCGGCCTGATTAAGATAAGGGTCGACCGAATAGTCTTCTGCACCCAACAAAACATCAAATTAAACTGTGCAAATTACATACTAGACAATATGACGGCGATAGCTAATATAGGTCGACCAAACTGCTCATGAGGTCGACCTCTTCAAACACGTACAACAGCAAGCGCAAAGGATCTTCTCCACAAAAGCGCTAACCGTACAAAAAAACAACTTCAAAGTTTTCGGTGGTGTTGAAGGTGACATATATTCGTATCTATAGATATATTTAGGAAGCTACTGGGTCGAATTAGGAGGTAGACAAGTTAGGGTTACCTTTCTGGTGTTGGAATCCTTATCCAATACGGATACGGTTTGGATGCGGTCGACCTCGTAATTGTCAGGTCGACCTTTTATATTATTTTCCTAACTGATCCAGAATTTGATGTTGATTAGTTAACTACAACAAGGTCGACCTTTTCACATATGAGGTCGACCCTTTGTAGCTAAACGGTCGACCTTTTCCGTATGTAGGTCGACCGTTTCTATTTTTCGCTTCCCACAGAGGCCGCCCACTTGCGCATGAAGGTCAACCGCGTCGTTGAGTCTAACAAAAATGAAACCACTGATTAGGTCGACCGAACCCTATATGAGGTCTATCTAAAAGTGCCAATTAAGGTGACTTGCAAGTCATCGTAGCAAATTCCCAAAGATTGATATACCTGTGACAAAATTTTGCTTCTTTTGGTTTGGTCTCGTATCATAGTGGCTTCCCAAGAGGTTGCTCATATACTTACCGTTTCACTCTTAATACTTTAATATTGAAGTTATTATCATTCAAACTCATTCATTTTTATCCCAAAACGTGTTATGTTAGTTAATGTTGAATTGATTCCTATGGTCCATGGATCTCTCTCATAGTTTATTGATGTATGAGTTTTCTTAGATGTTACGATATAAGGGGGGAAATTATCATATTTCCTAAACGAACCACACACTAGCCCTCGAATTCTAAAGACATAAAACATAGAATATTGTTGGACTACTGGTACCGGTTACTAAAAAAAATTTCATGTCCATTAGATATCGGGATACAAAATACATGCAATTAGTTGTATCAAAAATCGGACGGAGGGTCAATTTACTCTAGATTGTATGATCCGGTAGTGAAAAATCTAATACCTTTGCCAAAGAAGTGAGATTCCCATGCGTAATGAGACATGGTCTCTGGCGATATGTGGCAAGGACTTTCTTTTCTCCGTCAATGAATAATTCTTTCAAAGTGTGCAAATGAAAATTTGATATGAGTAATAGAGAATTATGCACCTCATGGGTATTGGTCGGGTCGATAGGAAACAAAACTGAAGATGCCTAAATTAATGCAATCTTATTAATGCAAGATTCAATGGCACGTCCGCACTCATCCATTACCAACCCAATCCAAATAAGAATGTGAGTGAATAGTGGGTTAGAATTAAACTAACTCGTTAGCAAGTACGTGAATCAGTTTAATCTCGACCCCCTCCCAAGCAACCCAGTGCGCACCTCTAGTTTTCCTTGTCGATGTTCTCGCTTTTCTAAGCTGATAACTTCTAGCATATTCCCTCTGAAGGGTTGATTCCACTAATCCAAATTCACTACTAAAATTGGTAAAAACTAATAGTTTCACTTCATTTTGGTAAAATTGTGACCATGTTCCAAATTCCATATTCATATTTGGAATTTAAAATGTCCATGTGGCTCACGGATTTGGACTCTCAAAATCCTTCTGCCCCATGAATTTGGTCCTTACACCAAAATGTAGGGCAAATAATGGATTTATGCTAACTCCATGTCTCAAAACAATGAAGCAAACAACCCCCTAGATTAGGTTCCTCATTAATGTAAGTGGAATATGATTTGTTGAGATTTAGTGATTTTTAAATCCCCTACTTTTCCTAATCAATTTGTGATTCCCTTGGTTAACTCTAATTTTGAGAAGAAAAAACACGGTACAAACGAGTTCATTATGATATACAAAATTATATCAAATTTTGATATATTTCGGGAAATTATTTTGGAACATCCTCTACCATCCATTGCCTCATTCGTTATAACTCGGATTGTGTAATTTTTAGGGATGAGTTCATTGTGATTTACAAAATAATATTTATTATCTATACATTTATGGGGAGAGATTTTCAGATCAATCATATCACCTTCTATCATAGTGGAATGATAAGGTAGAACTTAGGTAACCAATTCGTAGAGCGAGAACGGAAGTGTGAGAACGTTTATCTTTGAAGAACTCGATATTGAAAGCGTGCAGAGAGCGTTAATATTATATCAATATTTTTCTTGTTTTTCTGCCTTCTCCAATATTTATTTAGTTTTAATATCTACCATAAAAATATTAAATTAAAACAAGTAGATATTTTTTATAAGAAACCTGGGGTACTTATATTAATTGGGCTTTAGACTGTTACAGTCCGCTAGGAGAGTTGGAATAAGAAAAATGGGTGGCCTGAAAGTCCAGACCTCCTCAGCATCCCAGTTACATAATGAATGGGCCATCAGATGGGCCGCCATATTTGTTTTTGGCCTACAAAAAGGATGGTGAGCCCACCCACAGCAATCTCTGTCTCCTCCGTTTCCTCCTTCAGTACCCGATCGGCGACCAATTTAAAATCGGACGCAATCAACCCTGATCGAAAATGGAACAAGCATGCAAATTCAGGAAGCCATGGTCTCCTTACCCTTCTAACTCCCCCAAAGCAGAAATTTCCATCTCCATCTCTCACGAGCACTCCAAAACCAGCACCCTGCCCCTCAAACACAATTGCATCCACGTTGATCTTGAAACTCCCCGATGGTGGGGGTTGCCACATTGCTTCTTGCCGCGTGCTACAGGTAGGGTTTTCCAGCTGAAATCTCTTATATTCCTCCACCCACTACAAAGTCCTCCCAATAATCTCCCATTCTTCCTTCTTTTGTTTGTTCCATAAATGACAGTTGCGTTCTTCCCAGATGAACCAGATGGCGACGATGAACTGTTCCAGGGCATCTATCGATCCTAATTCTTGTAACTCGCAGATTCACTCTTCACAGGTTTGTATCTCTTCTTCCTTGACTAAATGCTTGAGGACTTTATGTTGCCAGACCCTACGAACCAAGCCACAGTCCCTAAAATTGTGAACTTGTGTTTCTTTCAACCCTCAAAAGGGCATTCCTCATTTCGTCTCTTCGTACGATCTAGAATATTTCCCCCAGTAGGCAGTAAATTATTAATCCATTTCCACCCAAAGACTCGTACTTTTGGGGGTATTTATAACTTCCAAATGTGGGGCTAGCAAACTGGTTCATATCTCTCGCCTAGCATCTCTTCCTTGTCCTTTCTCCATTAGAAATAGGTTGATCTGATTGGGTATCTCCCATTTCATTCAGCCCTCCAAATTCGTTTATCATGAGCTGGCTGAGCTGGAATATGAATCTGATTGATCAGAGTTCTGTCCCTAGGTTCAAAATAACTCTACAAGACTAATGACTTCCATATTTTGATATCTCGATCCAACAACTCATAAACCATAGTAGGTGAGTTGCTAGTTCTAAGTGAGATCAACTTTACCTCCTCTGCTCCCAGCAGCCACTGATCCTCCCAAATATTGATTTTTATCCCATCCCCCACCTTCCACCTTGTGCCTTTTCGAACCAAATCCATAGTTGCCATCATGCTCTTCCAAATAAAACTTGGATCATACCCAACAGGCAACAGGTCTTTCCAGCTTTTCCAGTATTTCTTCTTTCGTTTTGTTGCTGCCACCACCAGAAGTTTGATAGAATGCTTTGAGTTTCCTCCAGAATCCCTTTCGGTATTTGAAATACTAACATCGCATAGGTCGATTGTGCTTGCGCCACAACTTAAATGAGGATTTCTTTTGTTGCACCAGAAAGAAGTTTGCTTTTCCACAGTTTTACCTTCTTCCTAACTCGATCAACCAAGTAGCTGCTGAAAACACTTCTCTTTTCTCTCCCCATATTAGTAGGTAAGCCTAGGTATTTTTCATGAGTTAACCACCCAACGCATAGCCATAATTCTGGTCAGCTCTTCCTGTCGGTGCGAGTCCAGATTTGGGGTAAAAGAGATTTCCAATTTTGATAGGTTAATCTACTGTCCAAACTCTGCTTCGTACAATTCTAGGATTTGCTTTAGTTTTAGGCATTCATAATTGGTTGCCCTCGCAAAGCAGATGCTATCATATGCAAACATTAAGTGTGAGATAGCTGGAGCTTCTTTTCTAACCCGTATACCTTGTATAGTTCTATTTCTTTCTGCTTCCTTTATCAGGGCCTAAAGGCCTTCTGCTACTAACAAAAAGAGATATGGGGAAATAGGATCCCCTGTATTAACCCTCTTTGTTGAAAGAAAGTCTATGATCTGTGCCCATTGATTACTACTGCATAAGAGACAGTGGTAACACACAGCATAGTTAAACTCACTCATCTATCAGGGAACACCAGTTTCTTCATTATTGCTTCCAGAAAGGGTCATTCAACCCTATCTTAAGCTTTAGCAATGTCCAGTTTTGCCGCCATGTAACCTTTTTTCCTTTCTTCCTGCTCTTCATGGCGTGGAAACATTCGAAAGCCACAATAATATTATCCGTAATAAAATGTCGGGGAACAAAAGCACTTTGATTCTCCACCACCACTTCATTCAAGATCCTTTTAAGTATGTTTGCTAGAACCTTTGACAGAATCTTACAGAGTACCTTGCATAGACTAATAGATATTAAAACTAAATAAATATTGGAGAAGGCAGAAGAAAAAAACAAAACAAAAAGTATCTCCACAAATACCTCTATAATTAGACTTACCCATGTATCATCTTCATCTGTCTTGGTTTATTTGTAATCTAATGAACAATCTCCTCTTAGCTTCGCTTCACAGTCTTCCTTTACCAAGCCCTGGTACCGTTCCAACCTTCAGGAGATGGATGTTCTCCAAATCTTCTTTTATACTCAACCCAATGGTGTTCTCTCTTTTATGGTTTCCTATGTCGTTGCCGGCAATTGGTGGTGGTTATGGTTCTTATCATTCTGCAGGTAGTTCCAAGTTCTGATTCTTTCCGGAGCAATAGTGACCGGGAAGATCTAGGAGAGCGAGTCAAATCGTTATGGGCAAGGTGAATTACATTGGCAAGCTTTAGTTATACGTTCAATACATCACACAGGGGGGACTACGAAGGAAAATTACAGGGACGATGATGTTATGATTTCCAAAGTCGTCTTCTGGAGCAGTCTTTTAGGAGTTAGCGATTCTCCAAAATACAAATCACGCTCTCCCCAAAGAAAAATCGCAAACTTTCTGCAAATTCCCAACAATTCGCGTTTACACGCTCCAATGCGGGAGCAGCCGGCCTACCATGACGAATTAGATAACCTAAGGCAGAACAATGATAGATGATGATCAATATATTCCTAGTTCCTACAATCAAGGGTGGATGCAACATCAAGCTGGGTGGGTTCCATAACACACCTTGAATCTTGGCGAATGTTTCAAAAATGAGGAGTTATCGTAAAATGTCCCTAGGAGAATCAAAACTAGTTATCACTGGCAAGAGAGTTCCACGTGTTCACTTGTGAGTTGCTACTACTACTGGGAATGCGTTGGTATGGTTACTTATTTTTTTAGTAATTACGAGGCTATTAAAATCTACACCATTCATCATCTCTTTTTTTTTCTATTTTTAAATCGACGATAAATATTAGAGTAAGGTTAATTTTGAAAACAAAAAAAATATCACACCTGATTTCTATATATTGAAAACAAAAAAATATCACACCTGATTTCTACTGGGAATGTGTCGGATTGTTGCTGTGCGGCGGTGAGGAATCGGCAAAGGATCCATATCTGGTTTTTTCATTGTGGTATGTATTTTTTTCATAATGGTATTGATTTTTTTTAGTTTTATTATTTTTTGGCATTGGTATTGATATTGATTGTGCAATGATATTGGTTTTTTATATTGATATTATTGTATTGGTAGTGACCATCATGTATCGGTATTAGTTAAATCTGCAATGGTATTTTCTTAATGTAATGGTATTGTTTTTCCTAATAATATTGATTTATTTCTGCAATTGTATTTGTGCTTTTCGAAGTGGTAGTAGTTGTCTAATGGATTGGTATTGATTTATTTCTGCAATGCTATTGGTGTTTTCCGAAACGGTAGTAGTTGTTTAACAGATTGGTATTGATTTGTTTGTATTTGTGTTTCCGAAATGGTAGTGGTTGTCTATATTGATATTGATTCTTGTTTAATTTTTGCAGTGTTATTATTTTCGATTGAACGGAGAAGGAAAAGATTGAGGAAAAAAAAGAGATCTGGCTGGAGATTGTCGAAGTGAGACAAAAAGAGAGAAAATTATAATTAATATATTTTTGTAACTTTCTAAAATGTAATTTATTAAAAAAATTAATTAATAATTTGTCATACTCAATTTGCCCTTAGTAACCATGATGATTACTATAAATGATGATTGTGGAAGTGAACGGAGAAGGAAAAGATTGAGGGAAAAAAAAAAGAGATCTGGCTGGAGATTGTGGAAGTGAGACAAAAAGAGAGAAAATTATAATTAATATATTTTTGTAACTTTCTAAAATGTAATTTATTAAAAAAAAGTAATTAATAATTTGTCATACTCAATTTGCCCTTAGTAACCATGATGATTACTATAAAATGATTACTATAAAATAGTAATCACTGTAACATGTCCGGCTACTATTGCTATACTGGTGGGCTACAAGTAGTGGAAATGGAATCATTAAGCTTTGTAAGGAAATGTTTGTATGAAAGAATCATTAAGCTTTGTAAGGAAATGGAATCATTAAGCTTTGTAAGGAAACGATTTCATTAATGTACCGACTTATGAAATTGGCATTGTAGTTGCCAGTTGTCACTACAAATATTGAAAAAGAGCAATGAACTATGTGTAGAACACACTACGAAGTTGAATGAGTGATAAATGATTTAATAACTTTTTCGTAAGATATGTTGAGAGCTACATCTTGTATAGTTTGAATAGTAATGTATTTAAAAGACTTACTAAAAACACATCATGAATCATTATAAACATTAAATTTCATATATTTTTTCTTGAATCCTTGTTGAGGAAAATCCTACCAAAAATCAAATATATTATCACAATTTTCTATAGCACCATTATACATCAAGGATACAAAGTAAAAACGTTCAATTATGATAAGATTCGATCATTTATATTACGGGCCCAACGTGAAGTGCCTAAACTAGTTGGATCTAGTAAACGAATTTTTACTCTCTGCTCACGAAAGAGGGAAAGTAAGAGGAAGGAGAAATTTTGGAAAAATTGTTGGTATCAAGAAATTTTCGATTGTTTATGAGTTTGTTACCGTACAAAGGAGTGATTATTTGGAGAAACTACTATAGCAATTACACAAAATTTGAGGTGAAAACTTTTTTTTTTTTTTTTGCCAAAAGATAATCACTATATTGATCAGAATCAAAGATAGTTACATCCTGGAATGGATTCAGGCCAGAAAATTAAACGAACGGCTCGTAGTCGGGTACAATTGAAGAGCCTTTCTAACCACCAAATGGGCTGCCCTATTACTACGCCGACCTACAAACCGTATAGAGAACCCTCCCATCGAACCAAAAATCCCTATAATTTCTTCCAGGAGCGCCCCAACTCTGTTGTCTCTAGTATTTGCTTGATTAATCTTCTCAATAAGCACCTTGGCATCCCCCTCAAAGCGCACCTCTCCCAACCCAGAGTTCCGACACCAGAGAATAGCCTCACGAAGGGCAAGAGCTTCCGCAACCAACGGATTCCCAATCCCAGCGAACTGGAACCCTCTGGCAATCAAAATTCCCCCTAAGTGATCCTGTACCACCATACCTCCAGCCGAATGGGAGGTCGATCTGGTCGCCCCATCCCACAAGCAACTCAAAGGGCAGTGGGGCACCTCTACCGCCTGGGGAACCGCGCCTCCCCGAGAACTACCAACTGGCAAGCTAATCCACTCCTGATACTGCTGGTGGTACTGCCTCATCAAAGCAGGGATCCCAAACTGTTTCCCTTCGAACACAACCCAGCTCCGAGACCGCCAAATACGCCAAAGGACAACCGTAACAGCCATAAACAAGTGCTCCTGATGTATGATATTGAATAATCGCTTTAGGAACAAAGGGAAAGTGTGACGAGGCAACCCCTGACCCAGATACTCCAACCCCGCGTAATCCCAGAGAGCTCGCGCCACAGGGCATTCCAGGAACAAATGCTCCAAAGTTTCAGACTCAGCCCAGCAAACTGGGCAGCGAGGGTGTACTGAAATATTTCTCTCTATCAGGGCCTCAGTAGTAGGCAGAAGCCTATTTAAGATTTGCCAGAGGAAAACCCTTAGTTTTGGGGGAACTGGGGCCTCCCAGACGCGTATCCAGCTAGGCCTATCCATCCAACTGGCTGTAGATCACCACTTGCCACACGTTCTATCGAACTGGACCGCCAGATGGTAAGCCGATTTCACAGTGAACACACCATCCTGCGTGCCATGCCAAATTAGCCGATCCGCCACATTACTACGAGGCAGGGGAATCTCTTTGATGAGCCGACAGGTGGTGGGGTCAAACCACAGCGCCAAGCCCGCATCACACCAGGTACCCTCCTCCCCATTGATAACAGAAGCAACCCGTAAGTCCTCATTAGCAGGCAACACACAGGGGTTAAAAGGAGGAACCAGCGGATGCAGGCCAGGAATCCAACTACTCCGAAGTAGAGGAGCCGATTGGCCATTACCAATTTGCCACCTAAGGCCCTGGCTTAACAGTTGGCGCCCAAACAGAATACTCTGCCAACCCCAGGAAGGACGTGACCGAGCTGTAGCCTCCAAAAAACCACTCCTTGGAAAATACTTCCCCTTATACACTTGAGCAATAAGTGACTCAGGCTCGTTTAAGATACGCCATCCGATTTTGGCCAAAAGCGCCTGATTAAAATGCTCAAAACGTCTAAATCCCATCCCTCCCTCATGTTTACTGTGGCACATATTCCTCCAAGACATCCACCTCACCTTATCCTGACCATTCTCCACCCCCCACCAAAAACGAGCAACATGCCTATCCAGAAGCCGGCAAAGGGAGAGGGGGAGCTTGAAGCAGGACATAACATGCAAAGGTAGGGCCAAGGCTACCGCTTTGATTAAAGTCTCCTTCGCTGCCCAAGATACAGTGCGCTGCTTCCAGCCTTGCAACCGGGCTAGTAACTTCTCCTCCAAGTATCGAAAAGTCTCCACCTTGGATCGAGCTATAAGTGTAGGCAGTCCTAAGTACTTGTCATGGACACCTACAGCCCCCACCCCTAACACCTGCCCTAGGAATTCTTGATCTGGTAACGCTATGTTTTTGCTAAAGCAGACCGCAGATTTGGCTAGATTGACCCTCTGGCCACTTAACTCCTCATATTCATTCAGCACCGTTATCAGATTTTCACACTCCTGGAGAGATCCCCGGAGAAACAGGTAAGAGTCATCCGCAAAGAACAGATGAGAGATCCGTGGGGCCTGAGGCGCCACTTTAACTCCCTGCAACTTCTTTTCCGCTATAGCTTTCCGTAGAAGGGCAGCAAATCCCTCCGTACAAATGACGAACAAGAGTGGAGACAGGGGATCTCCCTGCCTTAGCCCGCGGGATGGCGTAAAATACCCCTTCGGAGTGCCATTCATCATAACCGAGAACGAGGTCGATTTGAGGCATTCATGCACCCAACCGCACCATACTGAGCTAAAGCCCATCTTCGTCATCACTGCGAGTAGAAAGGGCCATTCGAATCTATCATAGGCCTTTTCCATGTCAACCTTTAGAGCCATGTACCCTTTCTTCCCTCGCGACTTGATTTTCAGATAATGCATTAGCTCATGTCCTAACAGGACATTGTCCACAATTTGGCGCTCACGAATGAAAGCATTTTGCCCTTCCGTAACCAACATCGGAAGAATAGTAGCCAATCTTTCAGCCATAATTTTGGTAATAATCTTGTAAACGAATTGGCAAAGACTGATAGGCCGGAGCTGCCGAATAGACTCCACATTGTCCACCTTCGGGATCAGGGTCAACCAAGTATGATTAAAGCTACGCAGCATCTTACTCGTCGCAAAGAACGAGCAAACCGCTTCAATCATTGACGCCCCAACAATATTCCAGAAAGCTTTAAAGAACTTTCCTGTGAACCCATCCGAACCGGGAGCCTGCTTGGAGCCCATAGCAAAAACAGTGTCTCGGACTTCCTTCGGCAGGACTTCTGCAGTGAGCCTTTCATTCATGGTCTCAGTGACCCCACAGGCGATAGGGAGCTGATCCACCCGCCCTACCATATTCTCCACCTGCATTCAGAAGTAAAAAGCTTTTGGTAAAAAGCAGTAGCAATGTCAGCCTTTCCTTCCTCGTCTGTGATCCACTCCCCTTCATTATTACGAAGCCCAGCAACGAAGTTATGCTTGCGACGGGCTCGAGTCACAGTATGGAAATAAGAATAATTTTGATCTCCTTTCTTAAGCCAACGCACCCTCGACTTCTGTTGCCAATACACTTCCTCCGCCTCCCATTGCCTACCCAACTCCGATTCCATAACCCGCACTGAATCCCAATCTATGGGCGAGACGGATTTGATGCGATCAATTTCAGTTTGCAGGGTTCGAATATTCCGGAGAGAGTTAGTAGTGCCTGCTCTACTCCAATCATACAGCAAATGCCGCAACTTCTTAAGCTTCTCCCAGAGCTGGAACATGGGGGTACTAGGGATAGCCTCCTGCCAAACATAAGACACCATTGCTCTAACCTCCGGGTTTTCCGCCCACCTAGCGTCAAAGCGGAATAGAGGTCTGCTACGGCGTGCATAAGGCTTATCTGATAAAAGTAACGCCCTGTGATCAGACCCCTGGTCCGTAAAGTGCTTAACAAGAGTATCCGGAAAGTTTGACAACCAAGAATGTGAGCAAAGCGCTCTATCCAAGCGTTCTCGAATGCAGGCATTCCCCATGCGTCTATTGGTCCAAGTGAACGGATCTCCCTGATATCCTAGTTCATGGAGACCTAGGTCAAAAATAAAGTTCCGGAGACCAGCCGCTTGGGTAGCGTTCCAATTATTCCCCCCATCCTTCTCATTCGCCTGGAGAGTCACATTAAAATCTCCCATAATCACATATGGTCCCTCAAAGGAATCACAAACATCACGAAGCTGAGCCAATTGGCTAGATCTAAGAGCATCCACACAGCTAAAGTAAACAAAGACCACTACATAGGAAAAATCCCTTTCATTAACACGAATACAAATGCAGAAGTTCGAATGAAAAATAACCGAAGCATCAACTCCGGGGGCCCAACCAACTACAAGACCACCTGACGACTCAACAGCATCCACAAAAAAACAATTCGACAATTGAAAACCTAACCCGCGCATACGACGGGAAACGACTCTCCGGCGCGATCTTGTCTCTGAAAAAAAGACAAGGTCCGGTTTATTCGAATAAACTAAACCGACAGCAGTTTGAAATGTGAGGGATGGCCCAATTCCTCTCACATTCCAGGCCAATAGCCTCATTTATCTGGTTGGGTCCACTCCAGGCTGGCTTCCTCCACCTTTTCATCGAAAACTTCCACAAATTACTTCTTAGATGCGGGAACCTCTCCCACCTCGCCATCGACCTCCTCAATTTGCCTTTTGCGTCCCTCAATAGGCTGAACTGGCAAGTTGGATCCATACTCATCAATCCTCACTCCAAGAGCAGAGCCATCCCCCTGGCCAATTGTTAGGTCCCCAGCCGCAGATTGTTCACCCAGGATTAGGCCAGATTCGAAAGCAGCAACCACCTGTCGCACATGCCCCTTTCCCTCGCATCGTGCTCCTGCTCCCTCAAGAACTGGCGACCTCTGCTTCAACTCATAAGATTGAGCATCCTCTTCGGAAGAGTCCCGCGGGGAAATTACACTCAAGCCAGGGCCAAGGTCCAACTTCCCCTGGATGCTCGAAGGTGGCCCAATGGGGACCGGCGAGGGAGGGAGGTCCGCCCCTTTCTTAAGTCTTCGGATTGGGCCTTTTTTATTCAGCCTCGTCCCAGTACCATCATCCGCCACCCCTTTATTTCCCTGGGCCTTGGTTCGCGGCTTAGAAGATCGCCGAGTGGGCTGCGCCGCCTCAGCTTGGCCCACCGTCCCGCACAACTGAGAGTCCTCCGCCAAGGCCGCCTTCCGCAGTTTGGAAGTCCGCTGTCTGGGCTTCGGCCTCCCTTCCCGCTGCTCAGAGAGCCCAACTTGGCTTTGAAGCCCATGTTCTTCCGCAGCTGCAGGCCCATAATGACCATGCGGCCCACCCGCATCAGCAACAGGCCTCTTGCCTTGATCCAAGGTTTTCGGCGGCTGTTCTTGTGCTGGGCTTGGTTCGCCTGCCTTCGAGAGGGCCACCTCGCCTTGAAAAACAAACACATTATCACTGTCCTCCAGGAGGATTAAACGGCGCCGTCGCCCGATATCAGCTATCGCAAGGCCACCGTGATCTTGCAACCCCGCCTCAGCTCCCGCAGGTTCGACTTCCTCCCTCGGCCTCTCTTCCCTGGCGTTCCCGGGCACTTTCTTGGTCCGGGACTGTTGCCCCACCTTCCAGCGCGGCCCATGGAGCGAGAGGACCTTAGGGGATTTCGCAAGTTTGAATCCCCGAGGACTTCCCTTCCCGCGGCGGGGAGAAGGATTCTGGCGCATCCAGGGTAAATGGGCTCTATCTTCTGTGTGGGTACGGTGGGGATTCTCGCCATTCCCGCGCCGGGCTTGCGGCTGCTGTGCTCTACGTTGTGGTTCCTCTGTTCGGGGGGCTTGCATTCTCCCCGCCATTCGGGCATTCTCCCCTGTCTTCCGAATCTCCTGATTAACCCAAACCGTTTTCCGCGCACCACCAAACGGCTGATGAGTTTCATCCTGGTCATAAATTTTCCGCCCTTGCTTCTTAGTCATCATGTGGATTCCATAACGTTCCTTCCTAGCCGGTGGCTCGAAAGTGCAGTCACTCTGAAGATGCCCCACCCGGCCGCAATGGAAACAGAAACTAGGAAGGTGTTCATATTTTAAGTTAACCCAAAATTCACCAGTTTCCTCACAGAGTGCCATGAGCTGTGATCGGAGTGGTTTAGTGCAGTCAATCATCGTCTTCACTTTGATAAAAAGCTCGCCCGTTTCTTTGCTGGCAAAGACACCAGCCTCCAGAACTTGGCCAATGGCCGTTGAAATCATCTTTTGCCCGAACTGCTTGGTACAACAATCCTCATTAACTCCCCATATCTGGATGCGGAATGGGGCTATTGCCAAATCATCAAAAATGTTTCTTGTTATATTTGGAAGCCAAGATCGCAACACAAGCAGCTTATCATGCACCACCCAAGGGGAGCGCTTCAGGACCCAAATCTTAGCATCTTCATTTGGCAGCACAAATTCGAAGAGTCCGTGCCTCGCCTGCGTGACCCGAATCTGGCCCCTCCCCATCCAAGGTGCATTCACCCCCTCCCTTAGTTCCTGAGGGGTAACTCTGTCATGCGAGAACACCCTCCCCAATAGGGTACGTGCAGCTCGAAACTTTGTGGATTGAATCTCCTCGAGAGAGAATTGCACCACCTGATCCTCATTGATATGAGCCATCTCTGAAACCTGCAATCCCAACAATGGTTTTACCAAGTTAGGGATAGGTAGGCCACTCGAAGAGGAAAGAAGGAAGGCAGGCTCAATGGAAAAAGTTGGGAGGGAGAAAGGTATCAGCTTAGGCAGGACGCCACAAGCAGTTGGGGTGTCAGGATACCGCCTTGGGGTTTTACCTGTAATACCACCGCCGGGAGCTTGTTGCTGGGAAGCTAGTTTCACCCCGTCCACCTCAGTTACTCTTTTGCAGCGAATACTGGAAAGCAACCGGGGGAGTGGGTATTTAAAGAGCAACGCACCCTCAAGAAACCCACAGTTAGACGGAAACCGAACAGCCTGTAGAGGCAGAGTCCGAGTGGGAATGGGTACTTTAATTTCAAATCTGTAACCGTGAACAATATTGGAGAATATCTCCTGAATCCCTATAAACCAGGGATGATTATCCGAGAATTGGTTTTTTTTTTTTAATTTTATCCCGAACTTGTCGTCGCCTCCGCAACCGAGCAGGTCCGGCGGAAAGAGCCACACAAATTGACGGCCGGAGACCGATGGCCCTTCTGCCTTTTCTCCAAATTTCCAACGCCGAAGCATCAAGCTTGGTTATCGGTGCCTAGCTCTTTATCGGCGTCCCTTGAACATTCATTTTGGGATCTACCGGAGGAGCAGGGGGAGCCATCCCCAGAGTAGCCAGGTCAACCGAGATGGGGGCAATCCTTTCTTCCAAATCAGCCGAGGATGGTAATTGGAATCGCCAGCCCCTTTTGGGGTTTTTCTTACAGCGTTTATACCAGTCCATCGGAGCAACATCGCATGCAGGGCGTGCCCGCTTGTTGTATCTACCCTTTGCAACAGGCTGTTGTTCCTTTCGAACCCGCAGATCCCAAGAATCGCCGCGGCCCACCGTCGAGCTCCGAAGAGCAGAATCGGGGCGATCCTTGGGGATTTCCCTCGCTGCCGCCTTCGTGATTTCGTCTTGTGTCCATCCTCTCCAACTTGACTGTTGATTCCTTGCGCTGGTGTTGAAGACAAGCACCAGGGGGGTGAGGAGGAGCCGGCCGGCCACCAGGCATATGTCGAAGAGAGAGGCGAGAGCTTCCCTCATGGAACTTTTTTTTTTTGAACGCTTATAATGTTTGTAATTTTAGGTGAAAACTTCACTCCTTCCTATTGTGTCTTATTTCCCCATCTTTTCTCCTTCAAACTATTTTTCCCTTCTTATTTGATATTGGTTAAATACAGTTGTATATCCAAAACTTTCACGGTTGTGCCAATAATATCCAAATTTCTCGAAATACCACTTATATCCAATTCCTTCACATTCTTTAAAGGTGTTTTTGGATATACAACTGTATTTAACCAAAAATATATTGGGAAATGGATAGATTTGACAAAGAACAACTTTAAAATATGGATATAAGTGGTATTTCGAGAAATTTGAATATTATTGGCACAACCGTGAAAGTTTTGGATATACAAGTGTATTAAACCTTTGATATTTTACCTCTCAAATTTTCACTCCTTATAAATTCCTCTCTCAATGTTCTCCCTTTTTCATTAACATAGTATTAATGTTGTGGCGGGGAAGCTCGACCAAGTCGTGTGTGTCCAATTCATCTTTAAGACGCGATCTGTCGTGTTGGCAAGTGGAAACTGCCAAACCGCATCACTCTTTTGACTTATCCTAATAAAAGATAATGAAAATATAATAAAATGAATTTACATAATATATCGTACTATCGGGTTTTGGCATTTCTCAATTGGGCAGCCCAAATGATCCAATCTGATCTTAAGGCTGAGAAAGACCACGGCTAACATGCCAATGGCCCAAACTTCCTCCAAGGATGGATCTCTGTCAATTGTATCACTTATTTATCTACTAGTCTATCACTACCTAGTCAGGTCTGGTCTGGCTTATTAGGGATGGCAATATAACTCTATTTACGAATATCCTACTGACCTACTCAACCTAACTCGGGTAAAATGGGTAAAATTCGTGTTGACGGATTATGGATCAGGTTTGGATTTGGGTTTAAATTCGTTCTACTATTTTGCGGGTTGGGTTAGATTCGGGTTTAGCCATATCCAACCCCGTTCCAACATGTACCCCTCTAATTTGTTCTTCTTAATTGTGTAGAATGAAGTTAGTATTATGAAGTAGAAAGTGAATAAGCTTAGTTGACAAGGAGGAAGAAGCTTTCAATTAATTATATTGTTTATGGATGTTTATCTTTAATGTTGACCAATTTGTGATTTCCTTGTATGTTCTAAATTGGTGTTTGTTTGTACAAAAAATTTGAATGGGAAGATTGATGTTAGACTTTTATTTTGATAGGAAGTTATTGAGCATTTATAGAACCCATAGATATCCATGAACCCGTGGATACCCAACAGGTTGCGTTGGGTTTGAGTTTTCCAAACCCATTGAATTTTACCCCAGGTTTTTTTTTTTTTCAATATACCCATGGGTTTGGGTTCGGGTTTAACAATTTTCAGTCTAACCTGACACATTGTCATCCCTACTTCACAGTAAAACAAGTCCACCTTTCACCTCAAGAAGAATAGTAAAATCGTACTAAAAATTATAAGAAAAAAAAGTAACAAGATATTATGTATTAAAACCGCTTTATTAATTTAACCTTAGTTCTACTGTTTTATACCACTAAAACGGCTTACCAGTAATTCGATAAAAATACTGCTTACCAGTTTAAGGTCAGATACCTAGTATTTCCAAACTCCGATACCCCGAATTTGGATCCAACCAGCCGGTAAGACACGATTTCTAAATCACACCGGGGCTTACAGAACTTCAGGTAGCTCTCAGATCTGTTCAAATATTCAAAACTGACTTGTCGAAATTTCTTTAAAACAATCTTCCACAGAGTTGATAGCTGAAAGGAAGAGAAAACAACATAGCTAATTAGCTATGATGGGTGTTGAAAGCCTGGAAACCAACTTGATATCTGAATCTAAGAATGATGATCATCTATTAATTTAGAAGAAAACGGAAACAGAGCATCTATTTAACAAGGGCTAGCCCGACGTTCACTTCTGCTACTGCACTATGTCTCCCTTAAATAAACCATAAACTAGAGATAACGAAAGGAGGTTAAAAGAGACCGATTAAACAACACCCATCTAACAGTACCAACTATCCTAACCCTCCTGCTGCTGATATCTCAACAATACCAAAGACAGCTAAGCTTCACGCTACAAAATGACCCTCTTTAAACTCACCCCCATAACAGTCCCCCCCTTGAATCGATCTGCACGGAGAAAGAACCCAAACTTCTCGCTTTACTGCTGCTAACGCTACGCGAATGCCAACTCTCAGACACAAATTCGGAGCAACATCCATCCATCCATCCATCCTACTCGAGTTTGGCCTCCCTCGGCCGCTTCTTGCCGCTCTTTGCTTCACTGGCTTGCCCCTTTGATGTCGGATTTTCCTTGATAATCTCCTCTTCTTTGCCCGACTCGTCATCAGTGCTGTCTTCCACCTCGGTGTCTTTTGCCTTGGTGGAACCAGTTTTGGGCTTCCCTGTACCATTAGCTTTGGACTTCGCACCGCCCTTGATGCCTTTACCCTTTGCACTGGAGGACGATCTCCCGCCGGCAGTCTTCTTGGTTGATTGTTTGGCTTTCGACAATTTTGCAGAAGAGCTAGCGCCACCATCATCTTTCGACTTGGTGCTAGTGGTAGCTTTAGTTGCTGCCACAGAGTCATCAGTGGTCTTGGATTTTCCAGGAGTTTTGGAAGATGCAACATCACCTGATTTACCTCCACTCTCGAGGGTAGGCTCCTTGTTTTTGGTACCACTATCGTCCTCTGTCTTCATGGAAGACTTGGGATCTTCCACATCAGTTTGATTGACTTCCTTCGGTTTTCGCCCAGGTTTCCCACGAGCTGCTGAACTCTTGGATTTGCTAGAAGCTCCACCACCCCTAACCAATCAAATCCAGTAGTTGAAGAAATGAGCATAAGTGGGCATCATCACAGGTGCAATGTGAGAAATAAACATTCATGTCTTAAACACCTTTTAGGGGAAGCATCCATCTTTTCTTTTTTAGCCGACTGCTCAGTTTTTGCCTTCTTCTTTGCCGGGCTGAAAAGGTAAGGCTTGTGTTATACCTTAGCAATGACTGAGACCAATGGAATTGCCTTACAAAAGAAAGGACTCGTGAGTTCAATAACAATACAAGCGAGAAACATACATCTCAGATGAGGCATCAGGACTTGAAGGTTTGGCTGCTTCTCCCTGTCAACGAAACTAGGTCAACAAAAAAAATCTATAGATTGTGCAATAAAACGAAAGGATGATAATTCTTTTACCTCATCCTCCAAATCAGATCCACCAGATTCACTATTCAGGATATCAAACTTCTGCCTCTTCATATTTAAATTTTCTTCCTCACCATCATCATAAATAACCTACAATGCACAACGATAGACGGAAAATGTAGGCAAGAATTCACTAAATCGGAAGGGAAAGAATCGTTCTATCCATATCTAACAAGTATGCCTTACCAAGTGCTTCTTTTTGGTAGAATCATAAGAATTAACAGTGCCTTTATAAAACCTGCAGACACATCCAGGAACAGAAGAGATGTGACCTTGAAGTTTTAACTAAATCGAAGTTATTCAACAAATAACTCAATTTCAGAAAATGACAAAGTTGGAATCAAAGCATCTGAAAATCGAAGTAGATGGAAGAGGCAATTGGGTTTACAATCACTAGTAGTTAGGGGATTTAAATAACGCACTCAACTAATTTCAGGATTGAAAATGCATAATAAATGAAGGAAGCTTATTCTGAGAAAACCATATCGCCCAGACATAGTAAGACAGAGAGGAGCATAGACTACAAAACCAGACAGACACCCATGGCAATATGCAATGACTGCAGAAATCAGGAGATTTAATAAATATATATAACGAAAAACAAAAATGAAACTTTCTAAAGGCAAATGCCAGGAACTTACTTACGGTCTTGTGGCCACCATACTTGCACCCTTTTACCAACAATTTCGTCGCCATAATCTTTAGCATCAGATGCCTATAAGAATAATTGCTGCATAAGCACATTGTTTGTTCTATTGAAAACAAATGCACACTATAATTCTAAGGGAAACAGGTGACATGGCAAAAGCAACACCTTGTACATGGAAACGGGAAACAAAGCCAAGATGAAGGAAAGATAATACAATATGTTCCAGACAGTACTTCAAAGTTACTTGTTTTTTTTTTTTTATATAAATTACTTCAAAGTTACTAGTGCTAACAACATGAATTGAATATCAACTCCACAGTAAGGGATTCATCTATATATAAGAAAACCGGATTTGACCAATAGAGGCTCATAAAACAATAGCAATTCTTTTACAAGCACAAAGAGTCAAAAACAAATATTAGAGGACAAGGAGGCCCAAGGGGTTAAGCCAAAAAGTAATGCATCAGAATAATCTTCACTCGAAACAACATACCACTTCTTTTTCGGAGGACTTCCCTACATCACGTTTCCTTTTGCTACTTGTCTTGGAGGCACAAAGAGCAAAAAACAAATTTAAGAGGACAACAAGGGCACAAGGGGTTAAGCCAAAAAGTAATGCATCAGTGTGATCTTCACTTCAAACAACATACCAATTCTTTTCCAGCGGACTTCCCTACATCTCGTTTCCTTTTGCTACTTGTCTTGGGGGTCTCTTCAACAGGATGTTCATCTTTCACTTGTTTTACAGCGGACTTCAGGGATGAAATATTTTCCTACACAATCAAAGAGCAGGATAAAATGTTATATCAGTTCACAGAACTGTGAACTCAAGAGTAAGGAGGAAGAAAAGGTACATTCTCATCGTCATTCGGTAAACTTTTTGCAACATTTTTCCCCGAGAGAGCTTTTCCACGCACACGTTGGTTCTTATCTTCAGACTGCTTTGACGAAGACCCTTCTGCGTTCTTACTGCCTTCATCTGCCTTAGATGACTGCTTCAATAGTTTTGCGTCCAATTCACTTCCACCAATTTCTTTCTTTGATGCCTCGGTTATCTTTACCGACTTTTCTTTGTTGGAGATTCCAGAAGGTCCCTTCCTGCCACGTTTGGTGGGCTTCACTTCTGAGTCACTTGTCGCTTCAGATGCTCTTTTTTGGACATCATCAGTAGATTGCACAAGCCCCTTTACTGAACCCTCTTTCTTCTTTAAACGAGCAACCTTTTTGGCAAGGGTTTCATCTACTGGGCTTTCACTCACAGATGGAGAAGCAGTCAAGGACTCCCCATCCGCTGCTTTTGGGGATGACGGCTGGATATCATTCTTGTGCTTACTTTCAGAAGCCACAGCAGCAGCACCGGGTACAGATTTTTCTGCATGAGGTGAATTGGGAGCATCCTTGGCGTGACTTTTGCCTTCGGGAAGCTTATCAGCATCTTTATCATCAGCAGTGTGTATAACCTCAGAACGCTCGATCAACTTTGCAGATGACTTAGATTTTCTCGCCCTCTTTCTGTTACTCAGCTCCGGCCTGCTTTCTTTCTTAGCAGCCTTCTCGGTAGCAGAAACATCAGCATTTGTGGCAGCATTGGCACTTTTTGTATACCTAGTGGCTTTACCCTTCTCTTGGGTTTTCAAGGAATCTGACTCGGCCAAGACCTGAGCTTCCCTTGTCTTTGCCACACCATTGCTTACAACTGACTTGGAGGACTTATCGCCTGCTGAATCGGGTACTTCAGAAGGACCAACTCCTGCTGTTACTTCTTTATTCGCCTGAAAAAAAATACGGACTTAGATCACAGACCTAAAAGGGAACTTAAGATGGGGGGGGGTAAGAGATGAAAATGTCATACCTTGGCACCCTCATTGACCAACGCCATATCTGACTTGCTTCCTTCTACCTACAGCAAGTTAGAACAGTTTAAAACAAGCAGTTCATACAGAGACATCAAAGGATGCAACTTAGTTTCAACAACATACAAAGGTTGCTTTCAAAGCACTCTGACAGTGTTAGCATCCAAAACAAACAGCTTCAAGAAAGGACAAGAACAGGGATACTGACAGTTTAATGAAAACTGAAAGAATGTTAGAACGATGTTGCATGTTGAGTGAACAGCCTCATTAGCTTCTGAGATTCAGTAAAAAAAGAAAAGGCAAACTGACAGAGGATAAAATCCAAAGATACACCATCCGCCCAGCTTCTTTATTACCCAAGTTTGTTGAGCTAGAAAGTTTCCTAAAAGCTAATGTTATAACCTACCAAAAAGGTGAGTAAAAGAAATCATTGAAATGAAGAATGCAATACCGCAGTTCAAAAAAATCTGAGACTACCATATTTTAAACTCAACAGCTAAAAAGCCATAGGTAGCTTAGAAAAGCACAAACAATTGGCTTCTAGTTCCAGGACAGGAAGGGAAACTTACTTTATTATTATCTGCCTGATCAATATCTTCGGGAGGAACATCTTGGCATATAGAAACAACAACATCACTGTAGTCATCCAAAGAGGTCTGTAAAGCTTTCATAGCAGCTAACAAGGCATGCTTGAGAGGTAAACTACATTTTGCAAGAACGCCCTCCACCAGCTTGCGAGCAACGGGCAAGACTTCCTGGCATGGAAAACAGAGTTAATTGTAGAAGAGATGCTAATCATAACAATCGATATGTTGCAACAAATTTATCAAACTAAAGCAACAATAAAAACCATGACAGACCTCATTTCCCTTTTTTACGCAAGCTAAAAGTGGTGAGAACAGTTTCGTGTGGCAATCTTCACTCTCTTCTAGGACGAGATGCATAATTGTCTCCATGGAAGTAACAACATTTTCTGGATGGTAATCCCTGGCAGCATTGAGAAGCATCAGTAAGATAGTGCTTTTGTTTATTCACAGTTACATGGAGAATCTGATAACTACTCAAGACATGCATGGAACACTTCATGGGATGAAAAAGTGGCATAAAAATTTGAACCGAGCACTCCAGTTAACCACCCCCATGAGTAGCTTTCAGCATATCTTGCCAATGACACACGCCAGGCTACAGAAAAGACTTCGGTTATCAACATTGGTCATTACCTTACAGACTTGAGGAACTTCTGAAACATCTCTAATATCAGCGCATCCAAGTCAAGATCCAACATCACCACACATGACCTGACCTTCGCAACAGTTTCAAGTATCGACGTTCTCTTGGTATATGACCGACTACTCTTGTCATCCAGGTTGTCAAATGAAGATACTATCAGGTGAAAGACATCCTGCATACATAGGAAACCAAATGAAAAAATAATAATAATAATACAGTGAAATGCATATCAATTAACCTAGAAGAGCTCTTGAATCTGTTAGGATTCCACATGTTGAAAGCCCTAGCAACCTTCATCTGGTCATCCTCATAAGGAGCTTCCGGTGCGGTTATTCTCGTTATCTCACTGATGCAAGAAGCTACAGCAGCTTTAACATCCACATCTGAATGCCGAAAAAGCTGGTCTGTGATCAATGCATTTTGTGATGGAGCCAGTGCGCTTTGCATTGATTCCGTAGGTGACTGTTCCACCTTTGCTAGATAACTCTCGACTTGCTGCGAGAATCCATCAGAGAAATAAGGAAAAGTTCAAAACAAGAAGAAACAAGGTTCATAAACAAGAACAAGACAGAAATATAGCAATGTAGTGCAAGATTAACTCTGTATCGAGACTTAATATCAGATCTAATGTTGCCAGCACTACTTCTTTCCAGTTATTTTAGGTAGTGTAACCAAGTCAAAAACGGTAGTTTTACAAAACAAGGTTTTATTGACAAAGTTGTGATAGATCGCAGATTTCGGCCTCAAACGCATGAGCTATGCACGCCAGTCATACCCAAAAAAAAAACGATGTAATGCGTTTTAAGTTATGCCCCCACCATCAATGAAGCAAAATCCTAGTATAAAGTTAGGTCTTTGCGAGGATTCGCAATCATTGAATCTTAAGTTATGGTATTCGGATTATTTAGAAACTAATTCAGCCTACAGGAACCATCAGATATTCCACAATGAAACACCTAATAACTAGGCCTATAGGGTGAATTGTGATCACGTATGATTGTGACGTGTCACCGTATCAGCCTTTCAATAGTCAAGTATAAACTAGTCAGAATTTACAAGGTAAAGTATATGTGTAGTCTAACTACCTTAGTTGTCAAATAGCATACTATGACATGAAGAAAAACCGCACTACGCCTAGTTCAACAAATCCATCTATATACTGTGAAGTTCAGCACCCAACATAGCCTCATTAACTAGTTCTCAAATCCTAGTATTGCAATCCAAACGTATAAAAAACCATCCCGAAAGCTAAACCGCCCTGCTACCAGTTATATACATAGAACGAACAGTCAATTTCCTACCAAAAGAAAAAAACCTGGGGCGCCAGTCCTTAGAATGACTTTGGCATGTTTCAAAACAAAAGCCAACCGTTACCATATCACGAACTCGCAAGCAAAAGTGTCCATATAAATAACATCACGTGTATATATCGTCACAAACTATAACTATCGTTATATGGCAATAAATACAACATCTAATAATAACACCAACTATTCACCGATGAAATCTCATCCTTTGCCAAATGACATGCATAGTCCCATCTAGAAGACATTTGTGGGGCTTCTTTCACTAAAAGAAACCATCAAATGTTTCACGTGTTACGTTAAATAGGGGTAATGCAGCTAATAACTTGAATTACACTTTTACCAAAAGTACGCTAATCTTACACGTGGACGTTGTCTAGGTGATCATCAGTAAAGCCATCCAAGGCACGCAGAAGCATATAAAGCACCTGTCATATTACTATATCTATACGATCACAAATCCCTCACATCGACAACAAATTAATGATTTGCCATCTCAGACATCAATCTTCAGCAGCGGTATAATACTGCCCCTTATAATGAGGTTTTCAAATATGGGAAATCACTACCTAATCAACCACTAATCATCGCGAATCACCAAAGCGAGGTGACTTCCTACTTACTACTACAAGTACAAACATAATGAACACCGTTAAAGGCATATCCTGCTAGGACGCGATGATTTTAACACCAATTTATGGGATTATCATAAATGTAAACTAGCAGACGGTTATATTATGGATGCCAACAGCTTCATGCAATGGCAAACTAAGACATATAAAGAGTGCAAACACATGAGAGACTGCAATAACACAACAGGATTAAGCAACAGGCAGAAAACACAATCTGAAAGTTCCATTCCCCCGTCCTATCGCCACCTAGACCGCAAAACAGAACAAATAACAAACTTCACGCATTTGAAAAGTTGGCTGCTTCAGAGCTTCCACCTCCACTGACCTTCCAAGAACACATATATAAGTATATACCATCACAGAGAGCAGAAACGGAGAACTATGGTTAATTCAACACCCCCTCCTAATCCTATCATGCATATATACCTAAATAACCCCACCAAGAATGCAGACAGTAACCAAGCAGAAACAGAAACAAAATGGCCAACCATGGAAGCAAAACCTACCCTTTGGGGGAACGGTAATATAAACACGAACCCTACTACCAAACAACAACTCCAAAAAGCAATACAAACAGAAGAACAAAGAGTAGCAGAAGATCAAAGAACAAACAAATTGAATGCAGTTCGCCCCTACGTGTCGCGAAGCACGAAAACCTAGCCCAATAGAGGGGAAACGACGTTTCTGCCACACAGGGGCAGAAGAACAGGGAAAGGGGGAGAGTTAATAATACTTACGTCGAGAAGGGGAAGAAGTTCATCGACCGAAGAAGGAGGGTTAAGGAGCTTGTTCCCCGCTTCCTCAAGCTGCTGCTCGAGCTCCCTGTCGCCGGAAGCCATGACCAAACTCGGTAGTTTCAAAACTCTTTCCACGAAATCCCTACTTATCCCTCACAGATCCCCCTCCCTGAAACAAAACAAAAAAAAAAATTACATACACACTCGCTACTCGCAATTCTCAGACCACTGAAACCCTAGGAAACTCACCGTGAATCCTCCAGATGCAGAGGTCGTCGAGATTTTCGAAGAACGAGCGAGCAGAGTGTACAAATTTGTGACTGGTAATTGTTTTAGGGTTTTCTCTTTTCTTTTCTCCTTGAAGGAACGGTTGGGGACAGTGAGTGTTTTTCTTTCTTTTTGGTTATCTGGATTCTGGTGGTAATGAAGGGCTTGAATTATAAAAAAATAATATATATAAAATGTGTGTATTTATAGGTCTCCTCTTCCCCCTGAAACGTTTTTTTGTTTTTTTCTTACTTTCCCATAAAATCAGAAAAAGTAATTAAATTCAAATCTTTTCTTTTTCTTATTTTTCCTTTTTCTTCGCCTGCGCTTTTTGGAGTGGGTGGGGGGAGAATCCAGTCCAAGCACAGGCGCCGGATTCTGCCGGGTTTACTGAACCGGAATTAATTTTTGTGTCTCAAGTCCGCCTTTTGTGTCTCGTGAGTTTTTATCTAGATGCCCCTCTTTTTTTCTTATTCTTGCTGTTTGACCCCCAGAACTTAAAAATCTCACTCCTTTTTCTCCTTTTACTTTCCTTTTCTTCTTCGCTGAAATAAGAAAACATTACAATGCAATGTTTGGCAGCCAATTTACTATTTCCATCTTTTTCGTTTTCCTAATACGAAAATAACATACATTTCCTTAGTCGTTTCAATCCAAATCCAAGACAGCAAGTTGTCATAACACAGCAGCCAAACCACCCAAACATGATTATACCAGCATATAGCAACAAAATTAAACTTGGATTTTGATTGTCATTGGTATAGAAACAAAATTAAACTTTCATTATTGGGTACTTTCCTTTAATTTCGTGTTGAGATACATTGAACAACGGTATTTTCTCCTTCCTAATTAATGGTGGAATCTATGTAGTAATATTTATCGTTCTTCTTATCTCGTCACATTCTGTATAACGGCTTTCCGTACAAAGCACTAGCTTGGGTTGTATATTTTACTGGCGTAATAAGTCTTTGTATGTCGTAAATAAGTAAATAGCGGACTAATATTTTATTAAGCATCTGGAAAGATTTAATTTCATTATGTTAACAAAGTTTAAAGTAGTAAGGAACCGTATTATTTTGATTGAGAATCCAAGATTGTCATATGATACATATGACATTCCTGCTCTTGAGACATATGAATTCAATAAATAAGTTTACTACATATTGGATTTTTTATTTATATTGCAATTTAAATATACGCACTCAAAATTAGAATACCATTGGGAAATATATATTTTATCGAACAAAAGGATATCAATTATAAGTAATGGTTTGGTTGAGTGATATAATTATTGGTTTTCAACCTTAAAAATCCAAGTTCCAATTCTTAGTAGCATGTATTGTTTCTTTGTTGTAAAATACATTTTATTTTTGTCTTTTATATAGAGTATTTTATCCAATCGTGTGTTGGTGTTGTTCTACGTGTTTGTGGTTTGCAGCGGGAAATGTAGTTAAAAGCTAGCTAAAAAACTACCACTTTTACTCTTCTGCTTCAAGAAATATAGTTTTTCTTTTCAATAGAAGTTTTAGTCTATAAAGTTCATACAAGCTTTCGCTTGAAGAACTCGAGTGTATCATAATCCTTTTAAAAGCTATCGGTTTTACGCTTTTGGCCACTTTTATGGGTTGATTGTAAAGGGCGAGTGAGAAGGTTGGGTGAGGCGAATGAGCTTCATTCTTTTATAAAAATACATGTCATTTTAAATTTAGTTTCATGCTTTGATAATATAAGATTCGGTGATAATAATGAATACAGTTTGTACACTCATACTCTGACTCTCGCCATTCAACGTTCACTTGCTCACACTCGTCTCTCTCTTTATCACTCCGTCGTATGTTATGACTTCAGATAATGGATTTTTTTTGTTTGTTTAATAAGATATGGCTTTTCTTATAAAATAATATTGTTTATATTATTACATTTTAACTTTAACTCATATTATTTTATGTTTATGAACTTCCCCTCATTAGTTAGAATTCACTATAGCTTAATAGTTTCTCAAATTTGTTTTTATGAAAGTTGTGACTTTTAAAATATGGACAAAGATAGTTATTTGAAATCTTTTGAGTTTATATTATTTCACAAAGTACACTTTGAATTAAGCGATTTCGTGAAAGTTTATTGGATTCGTATATGCTTCGTTTTTACGCTTTCGCTTCTACCCAATACTTCGCTTCTATTTAAAATCTATAGTTTTACTACATTGGTTGCGGGTAATGGTATGCAGTGCTTCAATAAATGTTGATATTTATATGAAGTTATGAATGGTTAAGAGTTTTCTTCATGTAATAGATATGAGAAGTGTAGCCTTGTTGGATATCTGCAGTATCATTTACAGTGGAACCTTTTAACTGCAACCATCATTCAAAAAATCCTAGCATTAGAGCGATCTTCGGGAGGCTGTCGTGGCTGGGTTCAATACTGGCGGTTACCCTCAATCTTTTCTCCACTGGGTGTTTGGTTTTTGGCTTTTCGCCTTCCAGCCTTCACCAGAGTCTATTACCCTTTCCGAACTTCCTTCTTTGCGCCTCACATTCTACGCTGCTCAAAACCAAAACCTCACCTCTGTCAAATGCTTCTCCATTCTTGCCGCGTAAACGTTCTTCATGGGGCATTTAATTTCTTCTAATTCATCTCTTGGAATCACAGTTCTGATTTACCCTCTGCTCGAAGCTCTACTGACTCCCTACCTTAATCAGGCCCTAATCTGCCCTATCAGCCAGTGAGCCCATCCAGGTAAATCAGCTTCTCGAACCACCTTCACCGACGGAAACCCAGTCATTGATTCCACTAGACAAGTTGTTCATCTCGCAGGAGACAAAAATCCCGCTCGACGACCCGACCACGAGGGTTCTCAAGGGCTCGAACATAGTGCTGAGCAAGTACACCAGGGATATCCAGGTGGTGCAGGCTGAGTTCGTGAAGAGCAACATGAGGATTGAGGATTGCCCCTCAGAATCAGTTTTAGGTTAGTCTTTGTCGTCGTATTCTTCAATTTCCCCTCATCAACATCTGGGGTTAGGGTTTGAATTGTGTCGTTGTGTTGTTTTCTTCTTCTGCAGTTAGCTGTACTTTCGGGAGCTCATTGTGTGATTTCATTTATACATCATCATATTCGTGATCCATGTATTACTTTAGTTATTAGGATTCTGAACTTTTCATTAGCTTCTAATGATGCTCTATTAAAATTTATGTGTTCCACAGTTGCCTCTTCAGTATTGGTAGTCCAAACCATCTAATTGGGTTCTCAATCCCAACAGTGAAGGTTATCCCCTTCTCTATGGCACCTCCTTCTCTTATTTATGCAGTAGTATCATTTCTCTGTGTATATTGGCAATAGTAAGCTATTATTTATGCAGCAATATTATTTCAAAGCAACATATCTGCAATGTGTATAAAATACTTGCAATGGGATACATAGAAAGCCATTGTAAGGCATGAAGCAAGTTGTGTGATCTTTACATCAAGTTTGCATATTGTTGATTCTGTATGGCATTACTCTTTTGACTTACATTTCATGACTTTGTTTTTAACTAGGTTACAAGCTTATTAGAGTCAATCTTTGGAGCATCTTTTGAGTCAATCATAGTCTTTCAGCTTTTTGAATTGGGTCTTTGTTTATTTAGTTTCAGGTTATCATTCTCATTTCAAGCAATAGAGGATCCACATTTGATTTGTCAACCGCATGCAATTAAGTCCAGTTTTATCCTTCATTGGCCCTTCTTCTCCACTTTCTGCAAGTTCAGGTATGACCTCTGCTCTCAACCTTCTGCAATGTGGTTTGGTTAGAGCTGATGAGTTAGTTTGGCTTGGTGATTGGAATTGGTGGAAGGAGAGTGGAATAAATCTATTATGATGCTAATTCTGAAATCATCTCTTTCTACACTTCTTTTATGCCAAGTCTCTGATTGCTTCCAGTCATAACTGTTGAATAATTATATTGATGCTAACCTGTGCAAGCTCTTAAGCACCAGGTATGGCGAGGAAAAAAAGCATGCTCATGTTTCCTACTTTTAGACCTCGCACTGACCTTTTATTGATGGTTCTTAGGTTGCAACAATGGATTGCATTATACCTCATGTTAAGAAGAGTAAAACTAGATGCGCTAGCCACATAGAAGGGAGCCTATAAATATAATTCACTCTGGAAGCTACTATCTTTTCCCAATATGTATCTATTTTTACTCTTCTTGATCATGTTGGTTTTATATTATCCATACTTAATTTTCATGATTCTCTTTACCCTTCTTTTACTCAATATGACCCTTTGTTTCCCATATGCTTTTCCTGAATCATCTTGCTACCTTACCTGTTCTTTCTATTACATTTAAGTTTATTGGGTTTTCTCCTAACTTTATGTCCTTAGCTACCCCATCTTTTAATCTATGAAGAAAGGGTAACTCTTTAGTTGACTCCCCACTCCCATGATGGGGGTACTTTTATGCAACTCATATGACTTGCTTGCCTTAAGCTGACCGATTCATTGCCATCAGTCATTATTTCTCTTTATGCCATTGCTACTAGAAAATATAAAGGTTTGCTCCAACCTGTTCATTCTTGCCTCTACTTACAAACATTTATTTGGGGTTCTTTTGAAATAGAACTACAAAACACGAGTAACTTATAGACTTTGTAGTCAATAGCACGATTTGAATGTCTCTAATGAGTGTTCTATGAGTGATTAAACTATCTCCCTTCTTTCCCTTCAAAGATTTTATGATTTAAATTCACAGTGGCTTGATACCAATTGGTTGTAGTTTTGTCGTCATTTCATTCTCAGTAATATGACTGCATTTGTAAGGCTTCTTTCTCATGTAGCCAATGATTACTGTTCAG